TGGGAAACTGCTATGTTCTTTACCAAAATGGTTATATCATTTACACAGCCATTAGCAACCATTGAGAGTTCCAGTAATTTCATATCCTCACCAACATTTGGTATTTTTATTTTAGCCAGTCTCATGGGTGTCATTTTATGTGTTTATAATTTATGAGCTGTATATACTGTTTATTTTGCTGCTTGAAATGTCAGGGACTATATACCACTACAATTGCAAGGTTTTATTTAAACGTTTACTCGCTGCATATACAGGAATATACTGACTTTTGCAAAATGCAGCAAACATTTTTAACATTTGTTATTACATGAAAAAGTATGAAAGTGTTCAAAGAGATACACATTTCAAGCTGTAGCAGGTTGTGACAGAGTTTTTGAGGGCAAAGCATGTATAAAATTAATAACATGTTAGTATATTTAAAATCATAACGAAAATCTTCTCTCTGGTCATGCTGACCATAACAAATTATGTGTTGTAGTATACTTATAACAAGGGTTAACAGACTACCACCTCAGGGCCAAGTTCAGTTTGCCTCTCACTTTTGTTTATTCGTTTTTGTTGTTGTTGTTCTTTAAGACAGGTTTTCTCTCTTATGGCCCAGGCTGGAGCACAGTGGCACAGTGTTGGCTCACTGCAACCTCCACCTCCTGGGCTCAAGGGATCCTCCTGCTTCAGCCTCCCGAATAGCTAAGACAGGTGTGTGCCACCACGCCCGGCTAATTTTTGTATTTTTGTAGAGATGAGATTTCACCGTGTTGCCCAGGCTGGTCTCGATCTGCTGGGCTCAAGTGGTTTACTTGCCTCGGCCTCCCAAAGTGCTAGGATTACAGGCATGAGCTACTGTGCCTGGCCTGCTCTTGCTTTTATAAATAAAGTTTTGTTAGGACACAGCAGTGCTTGTTTATTTACGTATTGTCTATGGGTGTTCTACAAGGGAACAGTTGAAAACTGCAGCACTGAATGGCTTGCAAAGCCAAAAATTTTTACCTGACCCTTTATAGAAAAAGTTGCAAGATGTCCATACTGCATAATCCTATTGCATTTTTGTTTTCTTCTGGAGATTAAAGGTGTTTTTCTTGGGATAAATGAATTAGCCAAAACACAAAACCAGTTGATCAAAAATAAAAAACCTACCTCTGTTATAACAGCAGTAATTTTCAGAACATAACAACTGACAGTATTTTTGCCATTCATTCTGTGTTCTTTTAAAGTCACCATCTGTGCACTGTTGCCGTAAGTACATTTATAAAAGTACATTTATAAGAACTTGTCTGTTAAGCCATTTTGCTAACTACAGCCTCCTTGAGAGGATGTATTTGGTTGACTCGATCAGTTTGGCCATGAATAGTATTATGTGTGTTGAATTGGCGGGCTCTCTACATCAGTTACATTTATGTTTTAACTCCTTAGAAATGAATACAGCTGGGTTTTGTGGCTCACACCTGTAATCCCAACACTTTGGGAGGCCGAGGCAGGCGCATCACCTGAGGTCAGGAGTTCAAGACCAGCCTGACCAGGAGAAAACCCATCTGTACTAAAAATACAAAAATTAGCCGGGCATGGTGGCACATGCCTGTAATCCCGGCTACTCGGGAGGCTGAGGCAGGAGAATCACTTGAACTGGGGAGGTGGAGGTTATGGTGAGCCAGGATTGCTCCATTGCACTCCAGCCTGGGCAACAAGAGCGAAACAAGAAAGAAAAGAAATATATATTGTTGTATAAAGCTTAATTTTATAAGCACTTGCTTTGACTATTTTGCAAAAGCTCTTTGCTTTTTTCCTCTAGGGGATCATCCATAATGTTGCTGTGTTTTATTTTCAGTACCTTTTCAAATTTAATATCATTCTGATAGGAACTTACTAAATTTATCATTATTAGAATTTCTGCATCATTTTTGCATGATGTGGCCTCCAGCAAGTCAAATGAATTTATTCCAAGTTCTTCAGCATATTTCCTAAGGCGAAATATTTTAAGCAAATGATCCACATGGAACTCCTCAATTTATTATCATTCTTGAAGGCATCAAAAATTGAGTGTGAATTTTCAAATTTACCTTCTCTTAAGGACATTTTGCCCCTTCATTCTCTTGTAATTCCATGATTAATGGATATGGGATGGCAGATTGACAAGAACTGGCCCAGTTATAGAGTATTTTCAGTTTTTTGTCATTTTTTACATCCTGTGTACAGTTGAATTTCCAAATCTCATCTCCTCTCTCTCTCTTTTTTTTTTAAATTGAGACAGGTCTCACTGTGTTGCCCAGGCTGGAGTGCAGTGCCATGATGTTGGCTCACTACACGGGCTTAAGTGATTCTCGTGTCTCAGCCTTCCAAGTAGCTGGGATTACAGGCGCCTGCCACCATGCCTGGCTAGTTTTTGTATTTGTAGTAGAGACGGGGTTTCACCATGTTGCCAGACCGGTCTCAAACTGCTGGCCTCAAGTGATTCACCTGTCTCAGCCTCTGAAAGTGCTCGGATTACAGGCGAGAGCCACCGTGCCCAGCCCAGATCTCATACCTCTAATAACTGTATCCTTTTTCGGGTTGTCATCTCCATCATCAGTGTGATATGATTGATGTAACTGATGCAAAATATTTTGAAGGTTTCCATATTCCTCTCCATTCTCAATTTAATTTTCTAACCTGCATAGTTGTCTTAAACCACAGTCTATCATTCTTAGCATTTTTTAGAGCTTCTGTTGTTTTATAGAATTCCTAAATTCGTCTGACTCTCTTTGGATTGTTTCCAGTTTTGGCTGTTAGAAATAAAGCTGCTGTAAACATTGAGTTTGTCTTTTCATGCATTTATATTTTCAGTTCTCTTTGGTAAATACCTAGGAATGGAATCATTGGGTTGTATGGTAATTATGTGTTTACTGTTGTAAGAAACTGCCAACCTATTTCCAAAGTGTTTGTACCATTTTGCATTGTATAGGAGTTCCAGTTGTTTCTTATCCTTTGCCAACACTTCTTAATTTTAGCATTTTGTAGATATGTAGTGGAGTCTCATTGTGGTTTTAATTTGCCCTGCCCTGAGGACTCGTAATGTTGACATCTTTTCAAGTGCTTATTTGCCATGTGTTAGATCTTCCTTAATGAAACGCCTGAATCATTTACACCCTCCCACTTTTTAAAAAATTGTCTTTCTCATTAGAGAGTTATATATTCTGGATACAACTCCAACTTTATTTATTTATTTATTTATTTTTTGAGACAGAGTCTCGCTCTGTCGCTCAGGCTGGAGTGCAGTGGCCGGATCTCAGCTCACTGCAAGCTCTGCCTCCTGGGTTTATGCCATTCTCCTGCCTCAGCCTCCCAAGTAGCTGGGACTACAGGCGTCCGCCACCTCGCCCGGCTAGTTTTTTGTATTTTTTAGTAGAGACGTGGTTTCACCGTGTTAGCCAGGATGGTCTCGATCTCCTGACCTCGTGATCCGCCCGTCTCGGCCTCCCAAAGTGCTGGGATTACAGGTCTCCAACTTTATTATCAAATATGTTTTGTAGGTATTGTGTCCTGGCCTATGACTTAACTTTTCATATTTTAAACAGTTTTTTGAATAGTAAGATTTTTAAATTTTGATGAAGTATCCAGCTTGTCATTTATTTATGATTCATGTCTCATAGAGACCCCTCTTCTAACTCTTCAGTTCTCTGTTCAGCTTATTCCTCACTAGCACTCTACCCTACAGTTCTAGCTACCTTGCCTTCCCCAAAATCTGTGCGCATGCTCACTCACTCTGTCGGTCACTCTCGCTTGCTCTCCCTCTATCCCCCACTTTCTCAACTTTTGGAGGTACCTCCAACACCGAACTCTATTTCATTCTGGAAGCTACCACCATGTAATTAGTTGCTGTAGTCATAGATATCCCTTGGATTTTTTCCTTTTGTTGAAGAGCACCACAGTCCTGAGCTGCCATTAACTGTTAAGACTATGTTAATAACTAGAAGTAACATATGCCACTCAAACTCTTTGAAAAGCAATTTGGCGACTTCCTTGAAGGTATAAATAGTTTACTGTTTAAGAAAGAGCATAGGCTTTAAAGTTAGTTCAGATCCCACAACCATAAAATATTCATGGCCTTGGGAACATGATTACCCAAAAGGCTAGAGAAATTATTGGACAAGAGAAGAACAGCAATTGCATTTTTCATCTTAAAACAGAGGTATCATGTTCTTTGGTAGTATACTGATTATGATGTATTCTTACCAAGGAGAATCAACTCTATTGTCTTAGCTATGAAGACACTGCATTGTTAAAAATAGAAGATCATGTTTCTGTATTCCAGTTCTTTACTGTGTCAGCAAATGAAATTTAACAAGGGGAGAATATTGGAAATAGCTGGGTGCTTGGTGTATTTTACAAAGGTTTGTTGACATTATTGACATTTGTTCAGTTTTAGTTAACTCATTGTAGAAGAGGAAACAGTTTTTGTCCATTGGAAAAAGCAAAGGATATTTTCCCATAGCCTGCTTGAATCCCTTGGCATTTGGTGGTCTGGTTCATTCTGAGTAGATTGTTTTGTGCATTCTTATGCCATTTGCCTCTAGGACAAACCCCAATTAACTACTCTTTTCCATTTGAAAACTGGCATATGGGCTTCATTCCAAAGCATCAATTAATGCAGCAGTTTTTCTACTGGGAGCACTTTACCTCCTCCTTTTGCGATTAGTTTGAGTATTTTCCTATGGGAAATCCATTCTTAATAGCATATTTTCCATCTTACAATAGAAAGGGCAGCAGCTGCAGTTCTTTGCAGTAAGAATGGAGTATAATATGGAAATGTATAGATGAAATGGGTTGCTTTTCTTCCATCTTTTTTTCCCTTTTACATTTGCTTTTGCTTGAGTGGTTGGTGCCTGAAGAGGCAGTAACTATGGGCATGCATATATGTATGTATGTCCCCACAACATTTAAAGTGTGTAAATGAGAAGACCTTGCGTAAACCTGAATATTTACATAACTAACCTAACTAAAACCTCTCTTTCCTTATGTTTCCACAGGAGTCTCCCCAGGACAGTGCTATCACCCGGGATATTAACCGAACGTTCCCAGCCCATGACTACTTTAAGGACACAGGAGGAGATGGACAAGATTCCTTATATAAAATATGCAAGGTATTTCAAGTCAAAAGAAAAAAAAAAGACTCAATTTTGAGTGGTGGTTCTGCTTTGAAATTATATAAGAAACAACTACAAAGTATAATTTGTATTTGATGTTCAAGAATTCAAAAAAGAGAGAAGACATTGCAAAGTCAAAGGTGAGAACAGAATTTTAGACTCATTAAAGAGTAGAAAATAATTAGAAATAAAATGGTAGGGTTTCCTTTCCCTTTCTAATCAGGATTTTAGATGACAGTTGCACATTTAGACTTTCAAAATTTGTTTTTATGTTAAGAACCTCTGAATCCTGTGACATTGCAGACTCCTTTTCAGTATTCACTTTATAAGTGATGAACTTGGTACCTATGGTACCATCTCACAGTGGGAAGTGTCATTGCCTATCCAGGTGGACTTATAGCACTGCAGCATAGTAAATGATGGGAGATTCTGATTTCTCTCAAAAGGTCTGTACCCAAACACTAAAGGAAGTGATAACCTGTTCAATTTCAGTATTCCATTTTCAAATAGATTTTGGCACATTAGAGCCATTGGATTATAAAAAGAGGAGGTAGGAACGGAGTTTTTCGATCTTCGTCTGTCCTCAGAATTCGTCTTTAGTCTTTTCCTCCCAAAAGTTATCAAGTACTTATTTAGCATCTCCTATGTAGTAAGTACAGATAAAGCATGAGACATGTCCCTAATGCTATATGACAAATGGTTTTAGGACAGGCTAGCAATAAAGGATATGCTAACCAGTGAAAAGTTAGATGATTTAAACTACAAGGACCGTTGAGTTTAGAGAAATATTTTTTAGATTTAATTTTAACTTTTACATAGGATACATAAAGCTATGATTTCTGTGGTAATCTTCCTCTCTGATCATCCTTTTTTAGCCCCTTCTCAGTTTTATTTCCTGCTTAAGCAGTGACCCCTGCCATCTCTCACTTTACTACAGAATTTCTTGGAAAGTAACACTGTGTCCACTCCCTCTGGTCCCTCGTTACATACTTTTGACCCCACTATATTCTAATTCCTATTTGATGATGCTTTTCCTTGCAGAGCTTTCTGCTCTTGAGCATAAGACATGTCACCCTCTTGGGTATGGGCTCACTCTCATGACTTCACTGACTTCATCATTTTATCTCACACTACCTGCCGCTAAACCAGAGGCCTTCCTCTGGGTGATCAGTTGGTAGTTTCGCTAGCTCTACACCATCTCCCTGGGTAATCCCTTCCACCCCCAGAGCTTCAGCTATCACCACTGTACAGATGTTCTCAAATCTATATTAACTCAAGGTCTAAATTTCCAGCAGACAATTAGTCTCCATGTAAAAGTCTGTCAAGTATATCAAACAGAATGGGTTTAAAAATAGAGTTCATTTTAAAACATGGTTTATTATGAAAAATGTCAAGCATAAACATTAATTAATATAATGATTAGTCTAACTGATAAGTATAGTTAATATCCCCCACGCTAATTCATTATTTGTCAAGGTATTGTCACAGTTGCTTTGTCTCTTTTTTTCCTTTTTCCTGAAGTACTTTAAAACAAATATTAGACATCATGATCCTAATTTTTTAATACTACATCTCTAAAAAATAAGTTTATCCATCTTTAGCAATTAGTAGCTACTCCATATTCAAATATCCTTAATATGGCTGGGTAGAATCAAGATCCAACAAGACCCACATTACATTAAGTTGTTGTATCTTTTTAAATGAAACATAGTCCTCCTTTTCTCCCATACCATTGTCCTGCTGGAGACAATCATTTCTGTTAGTTTTCAGTCCTATCTTTGTCTAGGTTGTGCTAGGTATGACTGATGTCTCGCTTAGCTTCATTCTGTCTCTTCACCGCCCTGGTAGAGGCCAGTATCTTACATTGCTGGCAGTTTTACAAAAAAAACTCTGCCTTTGGGTTCTAGCCTGTTTATTCTTTACTCCTTGCCTAACACAGAATTAGATCATTTCAGTGGCCTCCACAGAAACCTTTATAACGGCTACTTTATAACCCATGGAATTCAATGAAAAGTCCTAGTTCATTTCCCTGGATTCCTTAGCTTAGTGTTGAAGATACTTTGTATTATATCCTGACTTTGCCCTTATTGCTGCTTCTCCAAATATTGTATGCATTAGCCACACTGAACTTCTCACTGTGCTCTCGTTGATTCACTTGTCTAACTTCCCCCTGAACTGTGATGTCTTCAAGGGCAGGGATCATTTCTTAGATATGGTAGCATCTGTAGCACTTGGCACAGTGCTTGGTCTATAGTAGGTGTTCATTAAGTGTTGATGAATTAGTGAAATGTCTTTTCCTCCCCCAGATTTCATTACAGCCAACATGAAACTTATACTCCAAACATTTTCCAAATATATCATATAATTTCACACCTATATGATTTCTTTATCTTCCATCAGCCTGAAAAATATGCTCCCCTCCATTTTCTACCTATAGAAATTCAGTACAATTTCATCCTATTATTAATACATAATTGCTGAAGCTCTGTGCTGAGCATGTTAAATGAGAGGACTAAATGAGAAGAATACATCAACTCTGTGATATTAATACTAGGCTTATTCTCATATTACAAATAAAGTAAGTTACACACTCAAGATCCATATCTAGGCCGGGCACAGTGGCTTACGCCTGCAATCCCAGGACTTTGGGAGGCCAAGGTGGGTGGATCACCTGAGGTCAGGAGTTCGAGACCAGCCTAGCCAACATGATGAAATCCCATCTCTACTAAAAATACAAAGATTAGCTGGGTGTGGTGGTGGGCATCTGTAATCCCAGCTACTTGGGAGTCCCAGCTACTGAGGCAGGAGAATTGCTTGAACCTGAGAGGCGGAGGTTGCAGTGAGCCAAGATCGTGCCACTGCACTCCAGCTTGGGTGACAGAGTGAGACTCCATCTCAAAAAAAAAAAAAAAAAGAAAGAAAGAAAAGATCCATATCTAGACATTGGCAGTTGTGGGATTTTAACCCAACTCTGACTTAACTCTAAAGCCTCTGTTCTTTTGTAACTGATAAAACTACTAATGGCTGATAAAACTACTAATGGATATCTTCAGAGACATTGCCTGTTTTCCAAAGACTTGTTTTAGCATATATTACTACTCATTTTTAACACAGTGTTAATACTGGTATTAACATTTGTTAATTGTTATTAATTTGATAGGAAAGTGGTACCTCATTGTATTATAAACTGATCATTTCTAAAGCCCTTTTTGCACATCTTGTCTCTGGAAAAGTATATGTGTTTCTCATCCTGTAGCCTTCTTATCAGATAAACTGTGATGAAATGGGTATGGTATAATAAGATTACATTGAATTCTATGAAAATTTCTGAATGCATGATCATAATATATGTATTTCTAAAAGCTATAGTTTCACCAAAGCTAGTGATAAACTTTGGTTGCATATTAACTTGACTAGCATCTATTAAGTATTGGCACCATATTTTGCTAAGAGTTATATATTCTAAACATACCCAATTCTAAGTTGCTTTCTTGGAACACAGAGGAACCTTGGCACAAAAAATAAGTGGAAAACAAAGGGAGTTTCACAAGAAATAAATTTGTCAAACAAGGAATAACATCTTGAAGATATAGGAATTTCCCTTTCTACCACATTTACATGAGAACTACAAATACCAGATATAAAAACAGAACTCTGAAAAAGAACTAAAAAACCAAAGAGTAAACCATGAAGAATGTTAGATGTCAATATTCTATTCAAAATAATGTTCAGAGGAGATGGGTAGTAATCATTTGCTGCCAAGAAAAATAAAAATAAGAATTCCAGAGGAACCCACAAATGTTTTCAGAGTAATCTCGCTTATCAGAAAAGTTATTATGATATTGTGGAAAGAATTATATTTTGGTGTCTTTGCCAGAAGAGCTTTTCCCAGAAAGAAAAATGAATAACATTAACAGTGTTTAGTGAGTGCAAGCTGTATATGAGGTGCTGACTAGGTTGAATAGGACATCACCCTATCCCTCACAAAGCCTACTCGTCTGGCAGAGAAGATGGACATGTAAAATGCAGTGTGGGGCTGGGCTTGGTGGCTCATGCCTGTAATCCTAGCACTTTGAGAGGCTGAGGCAGAAGGATCACTTGAGCTCAAGAGTTTGAGACCAGCCTGGGCAACATAGTGAGACCCTATCTCTATTTAAAAAAAAAAAAGCTGTGTGGGCCAGGTGCATTGGCTCACACATATAATCCCAGTACTTTGGGAGGCCAAGACAGGAGGATAGCCTGAGCCCAGGGGCTAGAGACCAGCCTGCGCAATATAGTTGAGATCTCATCTCTATAAAAACTGTTTAAAAATTAGCCAGGCTGGCTCACGCCTGTTATCCCAGCACTTTGGGAGGCCGAGGCGGGCAGATCATGAGGTCAGGAGACCGAGACCATCCTGGCAAACACGGTGAAACCCCGTCTGTACTAAAAATACGAAAAAAAAAAAATTAGCCGGGCGTGGTGGCAGGCGCCTGTAGTCCCAGCTTCTCGGGAGGCTGAGGCAGGAGAACGGCGTGAACCCAGGAGGCGGCGGAGCTTGCAGTGAGCTGAGATCGTGCCACTGCACTCCAGCCTGGGTGACAGAACGAGACTCCGTCTCAAAAAAAAAAAAAAAAAAAAATTTAGCCAGGCATGATGGTGCAAGCCTGTGGTCCCAGCTACTCAGGAGGCTGATGGGGCAAGATCCCTTGAGCCCAGGAGGTTGAGGCTGCAGTGAGCCATAATTGTACCACTGCATTCCAGCCTGAGCAAGAGAGCAAGACCCTGTCTCTAAAAATAAAATAAAATGCAATGTGGTGGTAATATAATAATAACCATGCTTGTGTAGCAGGTGCCATAGAGGCAGAGAAGAGAGGGATTCATTCTGGGGGAATTGAAATAAGTTTGGTGCCTGAAGGAAGAGTGCGTGTTTCAGGCAGAGAGAGGGAAAGGACATCCCAAGGAGAGGGAACATCATGAACAACAACAAGGAAATATGAAAAGTTTTTTTAGTGCAGAAGTGGTTTTTGCTTACTCTTCCCTACTCCTTCGCCACAGGAAATGGAGTGGTGATAGCTGTATTCATTGTAAAGAAAAAATTAAGATTGGAGAGAAGTATTGGCACCACTTATTGCCTGTCAAAATGCTGTCCCAGTGTGGGTAGCATCCTCCAGGGTTCTGTATTCAAGGTCCTATAGTACCACCATGGCCCACAAGTGGATACATTCATTTACATATCCTCTGTGTGTTTTATTTTCCAGGCTTATTCTGTGTATGATGAAGAGATTGGTTATTGCCAGGGCCAGTCATTTCTTGCTGCTGTGCTCCTTCTCCATGTGAGTAATTAGGTCTCTGTTATGACTTAACACATGGCCTGCCTCAGCTTATACTAACCTTAGGCTTGAGCATGGTTTTATATTGGGTTTGGACAGACTCTTAGGCATGAAATTCAACTCCTCTAGCTGGAACTTTTTCCTTAAATTAACTTAATGTCATTGTGGAGGAGATATATGATGAGAATAAATGGCAATGTTGAAAACTAGTACAAGGGTAGACTTCCTTTTTATTAATAGGATGATGGGAGAGACTTTAATGTTGGTTGAACCCTTGGGGATGTTTTCTCTAAAGTAGCCATCGTCATTAATATTTGTTTTGAGATTTATGTATTTTGGGGTAGGAGGAAGGCAGAAAGGGTGGCTTTCATTTAGTACCATTTTATTCATTCATTTGCTTAGCAAATACCTTTGCCCTCCACCTTTTTTATTTTCTTTCAAATGCACAGAAAACTCTAAACAGTGTTAAGGTGAACAGTCTTTATCTAGTTTACCAATTAATATTTTCCACACTGCTTTTTCTGTTTGTCTCCCTCTGCATCTCTTTTTCTCTTTTCTGCATAAACACACATTTTCTTTTTTACTCAAATTTTATTTTGAAATTATTCTTGAAAGTAAATAATAAACATCAAGACTCCTAAATACTTGATCATACATATGCCTTCTGGGAGCAACAGAATTCTGTATCATAACCATAATACCGTGATCACATCCAAGAAATTCCACATTGATTCAGTAATGTCTGATACACAGTACACATTCAATTTTCTCCCAATTGTCTACTCCATAGAGTCTAGCTTTTTTTTTCTAATCAAGACCTAATGAAGATTCAAATATTGAATTTTCATTTCTCTTTATTCTATTAATCTAAACTACTCCTTTGCCTTTTTTTGTGTTTCATGCCATTGATAGTTCTGAAAAATTCAGGGCCGGGCGCGGTGGCTCACGCCTGTAATCCCAGCACTTTGGGAGGCCGAGGCGGGCGGATCACAAGGTCAGGAGATCGAGACCATGGTGAAACCCCGTCTCTACTAAAAAATAGAAAAAAAAAATTAGCCGGGCGCAGTGGCGGGCGCCTGTAGTCCCAGCTACTCGGGAGGCTGAGGTAGGAGAATGGCGTGAACCCGGGAGGCGGAGCTTGCAGTGAGCCGAGATTGCGCCACTGCACTCCAGCCTGGGCGACAGAGCGAGACTCCGTCTCAAAAAAAAAAAAAAAAGAAAAAGAAAAATTCAGACAAATTGTGATATAAAATGTCCCACTTTCTTGATTTGTCTCATTTTCTCATGATTCAGTTTAAAATGCTTGGCAGGAATACCACACAGGTGATGTCAGCAAAGAGTTTTGAGTACCTGTTATGATCTGTACTGTGCTGAAGATGAGAGGTAAATAAGAGACATGGTCTCAATCCTCATGGATACAGAGCTTGTGAATCCAACTAGCTTTAAGCAGATAATCACACAAGTATATCATTTATTACTTTCAGTGGTGCTATTAAGGTATAATAAAAAGGTTGGTGTAAGATTGTAACAAGGGAGTCTTACTTAGATTAAAGGCTTCTCAGGGGAAGTGACCTTTAAGGAGCAGCCTGGAAAATGATAAGGGATATCATTTTCTTTTGTACTTTTCTGTGTTAACTTTTGAAAATGTTGTTATGAAAATAATAGATCTATTTGAAAAGGGAGTAGAGAATAGAGTGTTAATGGCAAAGTGAATGGTACAGTATATAGAAGTCCTAAATTGGGGAAACAGTTGGTGTATGGGAGGAACTGAAAGGAGAACAGTATGACTGGAGTATCCTGAGTGATTGGGAGTTGAGGAGAAAGTTAGGGAAAGCTTTGGAGCCCAGGTAAGGAGTCTGAATGTTGCTTCTCTAAGCAACAGGAAGTTATTCAAGGGTATTAAGCCATTCTGTGTAGATTGCAATGCAAGTTTGAGTATCACTTATCTGAAATGCTTGGGACCGGATTTTGGAATATTTACATTATACCAGTTGAGCATCCCAAATCCAAAAATCCAGAGTGTTCCAATGAGCATTTCCTTTTAGCATCATGTCAGTGTTTAAAGTTTCAGATTTTGGAGCATTTTATATTTTCAGATATGGGTTGCTCAACCTGTACAAGTAAAACAAAAACAACTTTGGTTTTTCTTAACTGAACCCAGCTTGTTGCTATTGGTAGTCATGTAAAAATATGATAAAGCTATGACATGAGTAAAGAGGTTTTTATTTTGTTTTGTTGTTTTAATGAAACTTTATATCTCAAAGTCCCACAAGCCTGGGTGATTTATCTTCGTTCTCACCTTCAGTTCAAGGACGTTTATCCCCTTGAAAATGGGTTTTCCAATCAGACCCTCCATGTCTTGTTTTGAACTCTTGCTGCTTGTTTTAGAGTGAGGGGAGATGGGCTACCTAGCATCAGAATCACCACTGTGGGTTAGGCCACATCTCCTTGCATGTGGCAAAGTAAATTTGCCTTCCATGACAAAGACTTCAAAAATCTGGGCTTTTGCCCCAAATACTCTTAACTTTCCAGTAATGATCTGCTATGCTTTTCTTACTTACTACTTAATCTGATTTGCTCTTTAGTTCTGGTTTCTTCTCAGTGATTTCTGTGCTCAGCCCGCCTCCATCATCTTGTTCCACAGAAGCCTGCCCACCTTCTTGACTTTTTTGAAGGCTTGCTACGTTCACACCAATCCTTAAATAACATTTCCAGTGCTTCTTTTTTCTCTTTTGAAAGTATCTTGCCAGGTTCTCAGGGAAATAGTTAACCATAAAACTATGGAAAATGTAGGTATTGTTATAAATATAAATAGAAGTGAAGGAGACTTTTGTAGAAGCATTACTGCGAGCCTTAGAATGTGTAAGGTTCTTCTATAACAAGCTATGTTTTTAACAACAGCGAGGAAGAAAAACAATTTTGCTAGAATGAAATAGCAGCTATGGAAGGAAAAATGGTTAAACAGAGGTCCCAGGATTTGGGAAAGATGACACCTGCACTGTTTATCAGCTTATTTCTGCTCAGCTCAAATTCTGTCCTTCATACAGAGTCTGTTTCTGACTGCCTTAGGTAGATATAGGCCTTCCTGTTCTTGTATTATCACTGATATCTAATTCCTATTACAGTTATTTTAATACTGGTTATGTGGGAGACTTCTTGAGGACAGGAACCATGCTGACAAAGAGTTAACTATTCCTTGTCTGAGTAAATAAATGTTTTAAACACAACCTTAGGCCTGAGTTTCTGCATAGCACTAAATTTTCTGGTAAGACAAAAATATAAAGCTGGATTTAATATCCTGAGAAAACTTCTGTATGTTTTGTGATTCCCCACCACCATCCTACCTACCCAACAACTTGCCTATCTGTTACAGATGCCTGAAGAACAGGCATTCAGTGTTCTGGTCAAGATCATGTTTGACTATGGGCTGAGGGAACTTTTCAAGCAAAACTTTGAAGATTTGCATTGCAAATTTTACCAATTGGAGCGCCTCATGCAGGTAAAAAGAGAAACCAGCTTATGTTTGACAAAAAGAGTACAGGACTAAGGAGCACCAAATTGAGGAAATGGTGCCAGGGAGCAGTGGTAATTGCCTTAGCGATTCGTGGCTAAGGATGGGTTTCATTTTTATCATTTCTCACTATGTGATTACGATGCAAAGATAACAAAGTGTTAAACTTTCACACCTCATGGATGTGAGCTGATAAACTCCCAAAAGATCAGATGACTTTGTAGGGGTCTTTTCCACAGCTAACTCAGTCAAGAAGTACTCCCCAAGGCTCTGAAGCTGACTGGTTAGGAATCTCGTAACAAAAGTGAAACAAACTTTCCCAAATGTTTTATAATTTGGAGGGAAAAACAGACTTTCCAAATACTTGTCACCATTTTGGGGATTCCTCTTTCTTTAGAACTAGTTTGTGGTCTGGAAAAAAGAGTTTAGTGCCAGCTTAATACCAGATGATAAGTGTTCTGAGCACTTTGGAGATTTTTAGAAAAACACAAGTATTTTATTTTTTTGACCTATTCCTGGTAGATTTATGTGCCTCCTTAGTGGGAATTGGACAGATGCATAAGTGCCCAGAAGTAATTGGTTTGCTATTTCAGGAATACATTCCTGACCTGTACAACCACTTCCTGGATATAAGCCTTGAAGCGCACATGTATGCCTCCCAGTGGTTTCTTACTCTCTTCACTGCAAAATTCCCTCTCTACATGGTCTTCCATATCATCGACCTGCTTTTATGTGAGGTATGTATCAGAGGCCGCAGCACTTTGGCTTTTGTTTGCAGTGTACTTGAAAACAAATCTTGTTTTGAGAGTCAGCTCTGTCAAAACAGAATTGGTCTCTTTAGTTATTTTATTTTATTGGTAGGGAATCTAGATTTAAGTGACTTTTCTTTGGACTAAAGCTAATGATCATATTTGTTAAAGGTGTACTCTGATATGAAAAGACATACTGAATTAGACATTTGACAGTTCATATTAAGTTTGACTGTATTGAATGGAGAAACCCAAAATAACAGTGATTTTAAAAAATAGCTTTTTTCTCTCTCATGAAAAGAAGTCAGAATGTTGGCAGTAGCGTGCCTTCCCTCCACTCTGACTGTTAGCCGTATGGAGGAGTAGTGCACCAGCCATTATATCTATATTCAAGCCAGCAGGATTAGAGGATGGGAGAGGGTGCATCCTCTGTTTTTAAAAGAGATTTCCTGGAAGTTCCATCCAGTATTTCCACTTTATGGTTAGAACTTAGTTATATGACCACACCTAACTGCAAGGGAGACTTTTTAAAAAATAAACTGAGCAGAAATTTGCTAAAAATTAGAGATTTATTACTAAAGAGAAAATAGATATTAGAGTAAATAACAGTCTTTGCCATGGTGTAATTTTGGATTTTGCGTGGTGTATTCATTTGTTTAAGAAAAACATAATTATAAAAATAATATATGTTTATAGAAAATATAAGTAAAAATAATTAAAAATACTTCAAATCCCACTGTCTGTAGGTTAGCTGCTTTTAACAGTTTGGTTAAAAGTAGTAGCCTTTCAGCCTTTTTTGTATGTTCATATATGTGTATATATAATTACTATACAGAATAATATGGTTTCCATATAGATGGAACACTATATATTGTGGTTCTCTATGTGTATATTTAAAAATATGATTGTTATTTATACTCTTTGGTATCCTTTTTAAATTTCATGTACTTGAACATACACATCTGTACTATCCTTTCTAATTATGCTATATTCAAAACATAAAATTCATAAAGAATTTGTATTGACCAATGAGCTTGAAATATTCTAAGAAACAGAAGAAATAAATATTACCAAATATGCCATTTTTCTTAGTTGCTGCGAAGTATCCCATTATTTGGATGTTCCATGCTTTATGTAACCAATTTCTAATCACAAACCTTTAAATTGCATCTAGCTTTTCACTAGTATAAACAACCATCTGTTAAGTAGTTACTGAGGGCCAGTGGCATGCCAAGTAATTTACATAAACTTTTCAGCTGATTATCTCAGAAAACCCTTACGAGAGTATTAGTTATGGAAACTGAGGCCCAGCAGTTTAAGCAGTTTAACTTGATCAACAGATAGTGCTTCCTCTCCTTTGTTCTTAGTCCCAGGATTTGCAAAATGGAGGGAACCCTGAGCAGATTCAGTTCTGGAATATAGGGCTTATCGACAGAGTGGTTGCTGTACATGGATTGGGACAGCACAAGATAAAGGAAAAGTTCCCCAGGAGTTATTTCCTGAGAGATCACAACTTTATGACTGATCTTTTGGTTTGGAAGCATGGAATACTTTGGAAAAGCATTTCTTATTATTGAATATGAAAATAGGGCAAGAAAAGCTCTTTTCTCAGAAAAATGGGAAACTAAGTGTTTAAGCAGCTTTTCAATGGCCCTTTAGGTTTTATTTTTCAAGGTAGTTCTGAGATAATTCATTTCCTTCCTTAAGTTTTCACAATTTCTTTAAAAATGTGGGGTATTCTGAGGACAAATAGCATAGTAGTTGAGATATAAATGCTGACTGTTCTTTTTGTCTGTTCTCTTTCAGGGAATAAGTGTCATTTTTAATGTCGCCCTTGGATTATTAAAGGTACTCATTTATTTATTAGCCGAGTTATCTGTCCTTCCCTGCTCTGCACTTGCAACACATTCATTGTAGTCTGATTCTGAGCAGTCACTATGCACTAGCACTACCCCTGAGAGTGGATGTATGCAGGTGGCTCTGACAAAAGCTAAGAAATATCTTCTGGGGCCGGGCGCAGTGGCTCAAGCCTGTAATCCCAGCACTTTGGGAGGCCGAGACGGGCGGATCACGAGGTCAGGAGATCGAGACCATCCTGGCTAACCCGGTGAAACCCCGTCTCTACTAAAAAAATACAAAAAACTAGCCGGGCGAGGTGGCGGGCGCCTGTAGTCCCAGCTACTCGGGAGGCTGAGGCAGGAGAATGGCGTGAACCCGGGAGGCGGAGCTTGCAGTGAGCAGAGATCCGGCCACTGCACTCCAGCCTGGGCGACAGAGCGAGACTCCGTCTCAAAAAAAAAAAAAAAAAAGAAATATCTTCTGGGAATTATAAAAGTGCTGGAAATCTACGAGCATTACCCCTAACAGTGGACGCATGCAGGTGGCTCTAACAGAAGCTGAGAAGTATCTTCTGGGGATTGTAAAAGTGCTGGGAATATAAAAAACTTGTTGTGCATCCTTATAGCAACACATTTTTTCTATATATGTTTGTATTTTCTTACTTCAAGACTTCGAAAGATGACCTGCTGTTGACAGACTTTGAAGGTGCCTTGAAGTTCTTTAGGGTTCAGCTTCCTAAGAGATACCGCTCAGAAGAAAATGCAAAAAAACTAATGGAATTAGCCTGCAACATGAAGGTAAAATAATTTTGCGTTAGTTAAGATTCTGTTTTTCACTTAGTGTCTCACTGTTCCTGATCAAACATTTATAATACATAATTATTTATGTATTATATTTATAACACTTATAATACATACATAATATTAATGTTAACATTTATAATATATAAATATTAGTGATGTTTTCTTCTGTATTATATGACTCTTAACCTTTTTTCCCCAAAATACTTTCCTATATATTGTAATCCTATGAATGAAATCTCATTGTCTCTTCCAACCCCCAAACTGTGGGAAGAGTATTAATATCCCTATTTTGAAGACAAAACAAAAAGAGGTTGTAGTTCCCTAGTCGTACACCTAGTTAGTGGCAGAATTCAGGTTTCATGATTTCTTCTACTGTGCTGGTTTAAGACAAGGCTAGAGTGCAGTGGCGCAATCATAACTCATTGCAGCCTCAACCTCCCAGGCTCAAGCAGTCCTCCCACCTCAGCCTCCTGAGTAGCTGGGACTACAGGTATGCGCCACTACACCCAGCTGATTTTTATCGTTTTTTTTTTTTTGTAGATTTGGGTTCTCACTATATTGTCCAGGCTAGTCTCAAACTCCTAGGCTCAAGTGATCCTCCCACTTTGGCCTCCCAAAGTGCTGGAATTACAGGAGTGAGCCACCACGGCTGGCCTTAACTTTCAACAATTTGTTCTGGTCAGAAATTCCCTGAAACGAAGCTAATGATACATGAAGAAAACTCAGTTTTATCACTTCAAATGGCATTTGTGATTTGCACAATTTTTTTAAAGTAAAAAGATACAGGGTCTTGTGTTCGTGTTATCATAACATTGTATTGGGTTGTGTTGTGTTGTGTTGTGTTGTATTTATTTTCTGTGGGGCTTTTTTTGAGACAGGGTCTCACTCTTGTTACGCAGGCTGGAGTGCAGTGGTGCAGTCACAGCTCACTGTAGTCTCAACCTCCCTGGGCTCACTTATTTAGGGCTCAGTTTCTGCTTCTGTAAAATAATATTTTACTTCTCATTCTGGTTATGTGTCAGACTGAGCTAACTCAGATTACCCTTTTTTTTAAACACAGAGGGCTTAAAAACAGAGAGGCTAAGTAAAATATACCCCAAGAAATGTTTAAATGCCTGGAAGAACTTGAAATAGAAATGCACAGGTATTTAAAACAAAGTAGCTCAACTACTCTCAGGGGAGTATGGAACTATGTGTAGCCATTAGGGGTTTAATGCTCACACAGACATAGTGGATATGATTTTGGGCCTTTAGGAGGTAGCTGAAAAGTGAGGCCTTGGCCGGGTGCGGTGGCTCAAGCCTGTAATCCCAGCACTTTGGGAGGCCGAGACGGGCGGATCACGAGGTCGAGATCGAGACCATCCTGGCTAACATGGTGAAACCCCGTCTCTACTAAAAAAATACAAAAAAAAAACTAGCCGGGCAAGGTGGCGGGCGCCTGTAGTCCCAGCTACTCGGGAGGCTGAGGCAGGAGAATGGCATAAACCCGGGAGGCGGAGCTTGCAGTGAGCTGAGATCCGGCCACTGCACTCCAGCCTGGGCAACAGAGTGAGACTCTGTCTCAAAAAAAAAAAAAAAAAAAAGAAAAAGAAAAGTGAGGCCTTTGCATAAAGTTAGGACCTCTGAATGGCTCCCCTGTCTGTTAAAGGAGGAATATAAAAACTCTACCTATTAGCTAGAGAAACAGTAGAAATCATAATATAAAATGAATAGTGGATTGGAAAAAAAAGGAAATAGAACTTCTGGTAATTAAAATAATCATCAAAGTTTACATTCCATTTAAAATGTTACATAATTCATAGGTATTACGGCTAACACTTAATGATAGTTTACCATGTGCTTGGTACTATGGTTAAATGCTTTTATATGTGGGGATTAGCTACAATATCATATGTACAGTGTTTAACATAGTGCCTGGTAGTTAGTAAGGGTTCAAGAAATCATGGCTATGACTATAATTATTTCCTCCCTGATTGTTAAACAAACATTTTTACAGTAATATTTTCAAAGAGAATAGGTTTGCACAAAGCATAGAACCAAATGAGTTCTGAGATTCTTTGAGTCACTCTTCCCATCTCAGTCTGGTTCAGCACACAAGAGGATGCTGCCTCTTTTTTGCTGATGATTTCTTTGCCTCCAAAATCTACTCCTTTCTCAGTATCCCAGTCTCAATTAGGGGTACCCGGTTGCTCAGGCCAAAAACCTTGCTGTCCTCTTGACTCCTCTCTTTCTCACACTCCACATCTATGCCTGTTGTCAGAATATATCCTGACTCTGATCACTACCACCTTCATTATTAACATCCCAATCTAACCATCATCATCCTTTCCTGTTTCCATAGTGGCTTCCTACGTGGCTCTTCTCTATCGCATGTCTCCTTTGCTGAAAACTCAACGTTTCCACCACCCAGAGGCATCCCGCATTCAATTTTGCTCTTTTTTTTTCCAAATGTTTTTTATGCATTCTTAAATAATTGAGTTCATACAGTATCACTTTTCTTCCTGTTCCATGCAATTACACAGATTTTCCTCACTGAGATATTGTGTGTAAATAATCAGTCGTAAATGGTTATATAATTCCTCTGCTTGAATTTGTCTCACTGTGCCACAGTTTATTTAACTGTGCCCCTCGTTTTTCTTGTTTGTTTGTTTCTTTGTTTGTTTTGAGATAGGGTCTCGCTCTGTCACCCAGGCCGGAATGCAGTGGCACAGTCTAAGCTCACTGCAACCTCTGCCTCCCAGGTTCAAGTAATTCTCCTGTTTCAGCCTCCCAAGTAACTGAGATTACAGGTGTGCCACCATGCCCAGCTACTTTTTTGTATTTTTAGTAGACACAGTGTTTTGCCATGTTGGCCAGGCTGGTCTCAAACTCCTGACCTCAAGTGATCCACCCACCTCAGCCTCCCAGAGTGCTGGGATTACAGGCACGAGCCACCACACCCAGCCCGCCACTCTTACTTTAAGTTTTGTTGTGGTGTGAACGGTTTTATACATAAAAATTCATTGGATTTTAGAGTTTTTCCTTAAACTCTGATTCTGTCTCCTACTACATTTCCCCCTTCTCCTTCCAATTCAGATACCCTGGCCTCCTTGCTGTTCTTAGACCGTTGCACTGGTCAGTCTCTCTGCTTGTAATGTTCTCCTGAATGTCTGCATGGCTTCACTGTCCCCTCATCCAGTCTTCGGCTCATATATCCATACCTTCTCAAATTGCAGTATCTAAAGTAGCAACTCCCCCAACCTTTTATGCCGTTACCTCCTTACCCTATCTTATTTTCCCCTACTGGAATGGAGGCTGTGCAGCCGAAGAGACCATCTCTGGTTTACTGCTGAATCCATAGTACCGAGAACAGGATCTGGCTTACAAATATTGACTGAATAAGTGAATGAATAAATACACTATTGAGTTTCTACCATGTATTTTACAAAGAAGAGTTAACATGGATTTGGGCAAAGCTTAATAGTTTCCAGCCAGAAGTTTTACCTTTGATATATGGATCCTTTATTTCCATATATGGAAAGGTGGGGAAAGTCCAGGTAGGAGGAATCTAATGTCTTGTTTTTTCTTGCCTATGCCTTCAATGAGACAAGTCTGACAAGGCTGCCTTTAGTGTGTCTGCACAACACATATATTTTGTGCTTAGATATATAATTCCTTCTAGCCCTGGAGAACTTTTCATGTTTGGGGTACACTTTGGATGTTTCCCCCTATTTGCACGTGATTTCAGGTGAGATAGTAGTTTTTCTTGAAATTGGCTTACAGCCTGAAAAGTGTAGAGATTCACCAGAACATGAGAGAATGGGATTTTTCTGCCAGAAGGTGAGATATGGTATGTATGGTTTAGTTAGTGATGATTGGTTATCTTCTGGCAGTTACACTTAATACCAAAAAATATTAAGAGAGATACACATAATAGTTGAACCTGTTATTGGCAAAGCGGTAATTCAGTGGTAACTTGCCAGTTCAAAATTAGGAAAAGTCATCATTGGCAAGTGCATCATGAGCCCTGCATTCTGTGGCTTGCGTGAGGTATGAGTGCACATGATCATCTGTGGTTTGAGCCCAGTAGACATTGAAAGGGTGGTTCATGATATGTGGTTCCAAAAGCTTGTTTGGAAACAAGCTTTTGAAGTTTTTCTTGTGGAATTTACAAAGGTAACTTTTGCTTCGCAACTCACTGAAATCCTTCCCATGATTTTTTAAATGTTTGTAAATTGTGGCTTGGTTTACTCAGTTGCACAGTTGACCTTTGAGCAACATGGTATGAACTGCATAGGTCCACTTATACGTGGATTTTTTTCAATAAAAGTTACACCAACTATGCCTCCTGTCTCCCCTTCTACCTCTGCCTCCTCCACTTCTGCCTCTGCTACCTTTGAGACAGAAAGACCAACCTCTCTTCCTCCTCCTCAGCCTACACATCATGACAACCAGGATGAAGACCTTTATGATCATCCACTTCCACTTAGTGAACAGTAAATATATTTTCTCTTCCTTACGATTTTCTTAATTTTTTCTCTAGCTTATTATGTTGTAAGAATTCAGTATATAATACCTGTAACATACAAAATATGTATTAATTGACTTTATGTTATCAGTATGGCTTCTGGTCAATAGTAAGCCATTAGTAAGTAAATTTTGGGGGAGTCAGAAGTTACACGTGGATTTTCAGCTGCGCAGGGCGTCAGTGCCCCTAACTCGTGTTGTTCAAGGGTTAACTGTACTTCCTGATTAAGGTGAGAATTGGAAATACTTTGCCTCACATGCCAGTCTAGGAAACAGATAGCCACTTTTGTTTTCATTGTTGTGATTTTTGGTCTTTTGAGAAGGGTCTTGCTCTGTCACCCCTGCTGGAATGTAGCCGCACTGCAGCCTCGACCTCCCAGACTCAAACAATCCTCCCGCGTCACCCTTCCAAGTAGCTGCGAGTACGGGCATGCACCACCATCTCCCGGCTATTTTGTTTTGTTTTGTTTTGTGTAGAGACAAGGTCT